ACGAATGGATGTGTTTCTTAATTATGTTAATTGTGGAACTGTCAAGAATTTACCAAATACGGAGAGTTTCTCATCATCCAAGTTTCAAGTGGACAGAAACTTGGAATCATGCAACAAGTATTGTATGATGAATGAAAAACTTTCACATTTGGGAAATTTAGACTAATTTGTTGACAAAGTGTCGAGCGAAGGACTAGGAGATCGAGTACACAGAGTTGTGTGTTGTTCAAGTCCACCACAAGAGTGATAAAGATATTTGTCATGATTTACTAAAGGTTTAGTAAATATGATCATACTTATAAGATTAAGTGTAATTCTAAATTGATTGAAAGAGTTTTAATCACTAGCAGAATGAATCAGAAGAATCAAGTAGGCAGAAAGATAAAAGTTTCTCTATTCTAAGAAGAAGTAAGAGTACCTTTTATTATGTTTTATGATATGTCTTAATGATTATGAACCATATCTCAATTGATCCTCTAAGAGAGTCTTAGTGCAATTGCATGTCTAAGAAGAGGAATCAAGAATTGAAGAAATGGTTAAATCAAAAAGTCAATCATACTTCGTTCCAAAACAAGTCTTAGATTATGACATTGAGTGACAAGTCTTAAGAAGGTTTATAACATTCATTAAATGTAGAATTTAGAAAAGGTTTCTCTTATTCTTGCACATTTGGAATTGGTAAGTTGTGATGTCTGCAATAAGACAAAGACCAACTAGGACCAATTTTGTAAAGTGTTTTATCTTGGTAAAGGCTACACTAACTCTTGAATATTTGTTTGTCAAGAAATGTTTATTGACAAGAGAATCTTATATGTCAAGGAGTCAGTGGGAGTCTTAATGGTCTTGAAAAAGGTTCAAGAACTAACCAAGAATAAACCTTATCGATCATCACTAGCACACGAGTTGAGGACTACAACCTATCGTGTTGATACTATTTTGTTTCTGTGCCATTCCGATTGAGTTAATTATGCATATTAGTTCTATGAGTTCTCATTTGAATGCATAAAAGGCAAGCACCTTGATCAATGAAAAGTACATTGATAGGAAATGGTGAGTTGCTTAACTACTTGGAAAACATGGTGGGCACTCGTGTTACCATAAGGCAAGAAATCAAAATTAAGAGTGTTCGGTCCATATAAGTTTGGATTTGTCGCAAACTTTGGTTTTGACAAATTCACATGGATAGGAACACATACACCGTTAAAATCTAAGTGTTATAAGATCCCCTCCTTCATGAAAATGAATGTGAGGAAATGCTTTCACTAAGATCTGCGTATGGTATTTAAAACTTTGAAACATTACCGTACCATATTTAGGTAACTGATATAATACTACCAAACAAACAAGTTGGCTACCAAACATACTTGTTATCAGCATTATTGGTTCGGTTGGTAACGTGTTGGTTGATTTTTTGTGGTAGATATTTTTCAGCCCTACTTCTAACTCTCTTTATCAATAAAACTAAGACATCCAATAACTTCAAATAAGCCCTTTGCTTATTAAGACAAAAACACTAAAGACCCAAACAAAGAAAACGCTAACAACATGAGCTTGAGAAAAAAAATATTATAATTCAGTATGTATCATCATTACAAGTCATAGCACATGCAGTTAAGCATGGGATTAAAGTAATAATGGATCGTAGCTAGAAATTGTTGACATGATGAAGGCAAAAGTGTACTTGCATCTACTTAAGCTAAAGAAAAAGATAATTACTAATCTAGCCAAATTAAGGAAGTGATTAGCAATTTTTAGCCAAAAATTAGTAAATGTCCAAATATAGCCCACGAAACCGTAGGTTTCTATATTCGTGTATTGTTTCGCCAATTCGTCTACTATTTCGTATTTTGTATAAAAAATCATTTCTAAGAAACAAATCCGTAGGTTTTTTAAAACCTACGGTTTCCTCTCGGTTTAGCTACGGTATCCCAAACCGTAGCCAACGGTTTTGGGAAAAAAATACGGTTTTTTTTAAAGTCTATTGTTTTGGGGTTTAATCTACTGTTTTGACAAAAAAAAAACTACGGTTTTTTCTTGTGATATAGAGTATTAAAAATAGTGTTTATAAGATGTAGAATTATTTTAACAATTATTTTATTAAAATTTTATGAGAATTCAAAACATTAGACTTTACAAAAATAAAAATAAATAAAATGAATAAATAAATAAACCGTATTTCTTTTGTGATGTAGAGTATTAAAAATATTGTTTATAAGATGTAGAACCATTTTAACAATTATATTGTTTATAAAATGTAGAGTTGTTTTTGACAATTATTTTGTTAAAAAATATTTTTGTAAAATATAAACAAGTTTTGTAAGAATTAATACAATAATTTTTTGCTAAATTGTAGATTATTTTTTTGAATTTGTTGACTGATTTTTTTGGTAAATTTGAAAATATTTTTGGTAAACTTGACTACTTTTTTGTCAGAGTTGAGTAATGTTTTGCTAAACTTGACTATTTTTTTTTGTTAGAGTGGACTACTGTTTTGTAAAACTTGACTACTTTTTTGTCAGAGTGGATTATTGTTTTGTTAAACTTGACTACTTTTTTGTCAGAGTTGACTGCTGTTTTGAACCTACCCTATATATATATTAAGTATTTCATATTTTTGAAATTATTTTGTATTTTGAAAACTGCACTTCTCTTTAGCTTCTTTATTCTCAAAATTAACATAATGAGTTGTAACAAGTATTTCGTATTGCTCATTACGGATGGAAGATGGGAATTTGTTAATTCTCAATTATCATATGTTTGGCCATCCGAATACAATCCGATAATGTTTTATTTAGGTGTTGAATTTTACGAAACCACCACGTTCACCGAATTTGTTCATTTGGTAGGTCCAAAAAAACAAAACTGAAAAATGACCTAAACTAAAAAAATAACCATTATATACTTTGGGCTACTAGGCCACGAAAAAATAGACGGGCCGTGAAAACAGTAGTCCGTTACCACGAAATAGTAGATTTCAAGAAAAAGAGTAGTCAACGCACGTTGACCGCAGTCAACGTTGACTACTATTTTGTGGGCCATTTTTGGCTAAGACTTATTTTTTGGCTATTTTTTGATAAGTCATTAATAGTTAAGGGTAGATTAGTAATTTCCCAAAAATAATACACCAAAACACAATATGCTTTGACTATTTTTTAATTTAACTTTTCAGTTATGTTACCGATTAAACCTGACATTTTATTTGTCTTGATTAAAAATAGAATTATTTGTGTTTTTAGTAAACTCAATTGACGAGTGTCATAGATTGTAGATGTGGGGCTTTAGTTGCTTTTGGTCGACTAATTCATAAGATTGGTGTTATAGTTTGTTTTAATAACAAATTTTTTGAAATTTCTTATATTGTATTATAGTAGATAATTTCGAAAGTAAGAAACCATATTGCTCTATCTTTTAAACATGTCATTTATAATAGGGAAAATGACATTTGAGGGTAATAAAGTGTTCCTCTTGTATTCATTAGGTTCCTTATCTTTTTTTATCTTTATTATACCATTGAACTTATAATTCCTGCTCACCAAATCCACTACGACCGGTTGTTGTAGGTTACTGCTTATGTGGATATTACGTGGCATTATGTGGCATACACTTGGCTTATTAAATGCAGGTCATCCCTATTAAGTTGCGTCATTCTCATCAATTGTGCCCTAGATCAACATGGATGCTTCTTCTTCTTCTTCTATCTCTTCCAAACGAAATGTTGAATTTCAACATGAAAATCCTTGTTATTGTGGGTTACCATCTCGCGTACGAACTTCACGAACTAAAGACAATATAGGAAAAAAAATTTAGATTGTGCCCTAACTCCATGGTAAATCAAATGTTTTTATGTTTTTGGTTTAATGTTCTTTCTTTGTTCTTTCTTTAACCAATTTGTTACTTTTTTCAAGAATGAAGGACCAAAATGCAAGTTCTAGGAATGGTTGGAGCCTGAAACCCCTGATAATGAAGTCAGTTCTGGGATGGACAAAAAGAACTATGCAATTTAACCCTCAAAATTTGTACGTTGGAAAACTAGATCAGCATATGTAAGATGAAGATGGAACAAGAAAATTTGGTTGTTAGACAAGAGTTTGAAAAAATCAAATGGAAGTTATTTACTCATAAAGTTCTGATGATTGCGTTATTTCTGTTGTTTGTGTTTAAGAAGTAGTTATTGATGTATTAAGACTAAATATTTTTTACTAATTAAGTTGTATTCAAAGACAATGGTGTATTTTGTTTGATGTATTAAGACTAAATCTTTTTGAGTGATAACAGTTTGATGTTTTGAGTGGTTTCAAAGATATATTAATGTGTTAATGTGATCCAAGTTAGTAAATTGTACATGATGCAGGGGTAAAATGGTCCAGATTAAGTATAACAGCAATCAATTGTTAATGTCTTAATGTGATCCAAGGGTAAAATGGTCCAGATTAACCACAACAAAATTAAACATTTCTTAATGTTTTAAGACTAAATGTTTTTTACTAACGATAGTTTGATATTTTGAGTGGTTACAAAGACATATTAGTGTGTTTAACAGGTTATTGAATTAGACATTATGCAGGGGTAAAATGGTCTAGATTAACCATAACAAAATCAAACATTTTTTAATGTATTAAGACTAAATCTTTTTTACAAAAACATAGTTTGATGTTTTGAGTGGTTAAAAAGAAATATTAGTGTGTTTAATAGGTTAGTGAATTAGACATTATGCAGGGGTAAAATGGTCCAGATTAACCACAACAACAACATCAAACATTTCTTAATGTATTAAGACTAAATCTTCTTTATTAATGATAGTTAGTTTGATGTTTTGAGTGGTTTCAAAATGTGTTTAACTGGTTAGTGTATTGGACATGATACAGGGGTAAAATGGTCCAGATTAAATATAACACCCAAGCATATAAAATAGATAGAAGACAAACTTGTAAGATTTCATTAGCATGTGCACCATTACAAAAGATGTGCCCACATTTGTCCTAATATGTCAAAAGATGTGCCATGACTAAAAGTATTCCCAATTACATAATTAAAATACTAAAAGTTTATCTTTACAAAAATATTAAAACATAAATTCATTCCAACACCAGTGGGTGGTGATCAATGCTTCCTTCTTTCTTCAAAGCATTACTCCTCAATCCAATCTTGGTAATTCTTTCTGAGTATTTTCGTGTCCTCTTCCCAGTTGCAACAGGTTGAGCAGGGACATCATTAACAGGATCATCTACATGAACATCAACATGTTGAGCAGGGACATCATTGACAGGATCATATACATGAACATCAACATGAGGAGCAGGATCATCTACTTGGACATCATCATCTGGTTGTGCATGAGCTTCCACTTGAATTGGATCTTCTTGAACTGGTTCCACAATACCTGCTATACAAAGGTGTAGTTAATGAGTTGGATGTTGTAGTATAATTACATTGTTTTAATAGCATACCTTTCTCTATTTTACATTTATTAGCTTTCTTCTTTTTTGGCAGTGAAGTGGATGCTGCATCTTTTGGTCTTGTAAGACATGTTGATCTAGTGTGGCTCGTTTCTCTACAAATGGTGCATTTATAATTACACCACATTTTGAGATAGTATGCCTTGTTTTCCCCTGGCTTTCCCTCTCAGATTGATCCCTTTTCCTTTTAATGGTTGGCCTTCCTGGTAACCTTCTTTTTTGGGGAGGCAATGGTTTCATGTAGGTAACTTCAGGCCACATGGAACTACCATTAAGTGGATTAATGGTATGGTTGTAACAAGTCAAGAACATGGTTGTATGGAACCATGGTGCAACATAATCCTCTGCATTCCTGTTGAGGTATGAAATGGATGCCACTCCATGCACACATGGGATACCTGATACTTGCCAAGATCTACATCCACATGTGTTGTTGTTAAGGTCCACAGCATATCCATCATTTCCAAGCCTAACCTCATATTGTTGTATCCCAGAATGTATAACCCCCCAAAATCTACCCACAAAAATAAGAAGTTCTATTAATCTTATAGATGAGACATATAATATTTATAAAATAGAAGTTATATCATACCTTTGGTGTTTCTTTAGCTTTGATATCTTCAACCTTATAGATGGATATATTTTTAAATTCCCCCAACTTTGTCCCTCTAGCAACATTTTATACATCCTCTCCATTGCATAAATCCTTATCTCTTCCAACATGGTGATGAGTGGCCTCTTCCTAGCAAGATCAATAATAGAGTTGAAACATTCTGAGATGCCATTCTCATAAGCATCACAAGCCCTGTCCACTTCAAAGAATGCCTTGCACCAACTTTTAGGGTCCCTTTCCACGAGGTGATCATAAGCCAAAGGGTTAATTTTTTTATGGAATTCATTTCTGCCTCAAATTTAGGTTAAGTAGTACTAGCAGCTGCTGCCAAAAACAACTTCCTATATTGTTCACCTTTGAATCTTTTCTTGAAGTTAGCATAGATGTGCTTAGCACATTATCTATGTTGTGCTGCTGGAACCCTTTCTTTGACAACCTCTATTAATCCCTGAAAGAAAGCATGAAATAGATGACATAACAAAAACATTCAACTTAAGCAAAACAAAACATAAATATACCTTGTGTTGGTCTGATATGAGGGTCAATCCATGAACAATTCTCATTTCAATGTCATCCAGAAGGAGGTCAAGAAACCACTTCCATGTTTCCTTATTTTCAACTTCCACCACAGCCCATGCAATAGGGAAGATGTGGTTGTTTGCATCCATACCTATAGTTGCTAACAGTTGGCCTCTACATATACCCTTTAAAAAACAACCATCTACCCCTATTACCCTCCTACATGCTGCAATCCAACCATCCTTCACACCCTTAAAACAAACATAAATTTTAGAAAAGTAAGTGGTGGAATCAGGCATAACATTCACATCTATCTTTACTGTTGATCCAGGATTTGTCCTCGTTATTTCTTCTCCATAACTCCATACTTTACCATAATGTTCTATCAAACAACCCTCTATCTCATCCAAAGCATGTCTCCTGGCATTTCTACATTGAGTGACACTAACAATCAAGTTAAACTTTGTACTTACTTTGGCTTTCATTTTCCTTATGCTCATTTTGGGGTTCTTCACAAGTTGATTCTTAAAATGCTTTCCAATCCATTTTTATGTTACAATGGAACCAAGTTTGAAGACTCTTGAACAGATATGGTCATCAACTAAGCACTTAATCTGGAAAGACCTTTCACTACTCATCCAGGAAGCCCACAGTCTAAAAGGACAAGAGGGGTTCTTGTTATCTTTACAACATCTCACTAATAACCTCTGACTATCATTTTTCTCAAAATAAAGGTTGTACCCATTCTTCACTACAGAGTTAGTCAAACAATTTTCAATTCCATGGGGTTAGAGAATCTCACACCTAGAATTGGCACCATTTTGTCCCATTTCTGGTTCTCATTATGGACAGGATACACTGGTTTGTCATCTCCATTCTTGGTTTCAACCTCATCAGTTTCAGCCTCATCATTTATATCCTTACACATACCTGACACCCGATGTAAGAATTCATCACCAATAGTCTTGTCAAGAGAAGGAATGTAATCATATGCTTCATGCTCATATGGAATATCATCAGAAAGCTGTGAATCTTTATCATCATTCGGGTCTTCCTCAGAATAATGCCCTTCATCATCTTCCACTACTTCCATATTAGCCCAATCAAGTACAGGTTCATTTTCGTGGTCTAAATACACATTCATTCTTAGACCAGCTTCATCACTATAACCCGTTTCAATAAACTCAAAGTAGTCAGCATCATTCCCAATTCTCCTAATACCCTCTACCAATGGTTCATTTCTAGTGCAATAATATACATTATCACAACTGCCTTCAATTAACTTTGCAATGAACAAGTTAAAGTCTTTGAGATCCATTGCACCAAAATCGACATCACAAATTGAAACAACAACATCGTTCAAGCACACTAATGGTTTTGGTGCGAATAAACCATTATAATGTATATAAACTGTTAAATACTTATGTTGTTTGGAATCGGAGGCCATCTTCTTCACTATAACACTCGCATTCACCAGTTCTCTTCAATTTCCTAACTGTATGCTTTGATTGAACTTTTTCTTCAATTTAACGAACCCTAACTATAAGGAGAAAGGGGTTGAAAGAGAAACGGTAATTAAATGTGTTCTAATTCCACGTAATATGACATGTCATCTCTAATTAAATGTGGTAACCGGTAAAACAAGTGATAACCGGTCGCGATGGCTTTGGTGAGCAGGAATTATAAGTTCAATGGTATAATAAAAAAATAAAAAAAAAAAATAAATAAAAAAAAAAAGATAAGGGACCTAATGAATACAAGACAAACACTTTATTACCCTCAAATGTCATTTTCCCTTTAATATAGATCTTAGTGTTTTGTCCCCAACATTGATCTTTATGCATTGTCTACCAAAAAAAAAAAACTTTATATGAATGACATAATTATGACTTTGTAGATATGTTATAGTACAATGTTATAATGAGAACAAATGAAAATAGAATGTTATAAAAAAAATCAAAATTGATAATTTGTTTTTGCATCGGTTAACCTAACCAACAGATTATAATACTACAACAGATTATAACACTAATTTATTTTAATTGTAGTCACCATTTGGGTAGCTTATATGTATCTGTTTTATATCATTACAAAAACCTTATAAATGTAATTATGTGTGTTTACAAATTATTAATATTTTTGTTGGTTATAGTTTACTTTAACTTTCAAACTATGAGAATATGATTTTGTTTGAAGTCGACAGCCCAAAGCTTTCAAAGCTTGAGGAGAGATGCATTCCGTCTTTCAAATGCCAACCTCCAAAGTTGTGCATATCACATGTTTTGTGCAAATAACTTACCAAATGTGACTTAACAATAAATCAATCAGATTTAACATATTTTTGGTAAGAATATCGGATTTGATTTGTATGTGTTTTTTTAAAAGAGCATCTGTTTTTTTTTTTTTTTGACTTCGTGAATTAACGAGATCCATAAGAAATGTCGATACCATAATTTTTTTCTTAAAAAAAAAAGGTTTATGGAAAATTATAACAGTCTTTGGCTTTTTTAGCTCGTATATGAACACAATTTGAATTTTTTAAAGAACAGTTACGAACATTAAATTTTGTTTATTTATTTGTATGCATTCTTTTATTTAATTGGCTAAATCCAAACGAACAAACACAATATTTGTAAGTTTCAATTACTATTAATTTTACACGGAAAATGATATAAATAGTCTACGAAGCTTTTAGGGTTGGTCCATTTAGTCACTAAAGTATTTTCATTGCTTTATGAAGGCATAAAATATTATATTTAAGTTCCATAAGAAAGATTTAAATAGACGTAGCGGATAAACGAGCAACAAACTGTGTCACAACCATTTTCTGGATGACAAAACTAATTCTTTTAAAAACATCTATAGATCTTTGAGTCATAACATTACTATGCATGACCCGTTGTACTCTATTGAGTAGCTCCACAGTTTCTAGCGCAAGGAAACCAAAAGTATCAAATGCAAAGGGTATAAATGTGTGTTGATTTTCTATGCACGTTTTCTCATGTTTTGTCACTTTGCTTGATGCAGCTTTTAAAATAGTTTGCCCTACATTGAAAACTCCACTCCCAAGCCACAAGATGGGAAACTACTGTTAGATCCACGCATGCATGTTTTCCTCTAGCCCATCCAAATAGTAAAACATCAGCTGATCTAAGTTTTGATCTTCTTTCCAATGAGTCAGTCAGAAAGTTCACAGGTGTCTCTTTCTTGGCAGAAACCCTAGCGCGCCTAAATATGTCGAAAAGAACATCTCTAACCAGATTGTGTCAGTACTTGAAACCCGGGAGCTCTTTACAATGAACTGCATGCTCCCCGAAGGAGTCCAAGCATTCCTTGCAACAAACAGGGCAAGTGTCGTCAGCCGGAAATAAAGGGATTATAAGGCGATATTTGAGGACGGCACGATACTCCTTTGGCGACATATGTTGCCCAAGACCATCAATAGGAATAGTCATAATAAAATCCTGAGCATGTGGGGCCCTTAGACACTCAAAAATTACTTTCTGCCTAATCCTCATGTCGAATTGAACTTCTATGTCTTGGAAAATTTTACGAAAAAGAGCACTCGCCAATGAATGTTGGGCTTTTAGAGGGGCGGTGTCCTTATTAGTGAAACCCCTGAAGTCAAAGCCTGGAATCGTATCACGAAGACAAGCCAAAGCACAAACACAATCTGAATCCATACCACATATGCCGCTATTCCGTAAGATGTGGTCTTGTAACACCCACGATTGAGCTCGCGAGGCCAATAAAGCATAAGAGGAAGCCTCTACATTTAGTACAACCCCAAACCATCAAACCTAATTGGTAACGAAGCCAATCGCCATTGCAGGTCCCCAAAGAACGGACCCCCGCAAACCACAATGTCTTCAATTGACACATGTAACCCTTTATCAAAACACAAAGCAGCCTCTTCCATGTGAACGGGTTGGCATGTTCTCAGGCCAAAAAAAATTGGCGATACCCATACAAGATCAAAGCAAAAGGAGCTCACTTTGGGGGTCATATGATTGTGGTAGAATGCGCATCAAATCAACATTCTTGGCAACCCTCTTCATGGCTAACCGGCTAATAAAACTCACATCTCTACTAGCAGCTCCCCAAGAAGCTTCACCTCCACTGACGGTCGCCCAATGTCAGCAGGGAATAAACTTGAATGAAGCTTCCTATCATCGCATGAAGGCCAAAATAGCTCAGTTTTCTTGATATTCAGATCTTGGGCCTACCACCCTAATGATGTCCAATACTTTGGACACCTCCTCTGAATCTTCAATGATTATCCCATCATCAAGATACCAAGTATGAAGAAGAAGTTACAATTATCTCTAATTTAATGTATAAGTTGGTGCAGTACCAGAGCAAAAAGAAGTGGTCCCAAAGGGTCACCTTACTGGACCCCAATAGTGGACCAAATATGCTTATCTCCCAAATACAACCTTGCTGCATGGCCATATAAGAATTCGAACCATAAGGAAATGGAAGGGCACCTCATCCTGACCTCGTGAAGTAAGGTAGATCTATCAACTAAATTGAAGGCATTTGAGAAATCCACAATAAGCATTGCAAGAGATCCATCATCATGATGTGCATTCAACACCCTATTGACACTATGAAGTTGTAACACCCCGAGTCCAGAAGTGCAAGTTCATGGTTCTAAGTGTAAATAAGGAAGGTCGACTCGGCGAGTCGAGTTGCGATTCTGGACGCATGATTAAGTGACCAACTCGGCGAGTCGGCAGCTGGACTTGGCGAGTTGGTGTTGAAGAGAGAAAAACCCTAATCCGGGGTTTGTGCCACATATAAAGCACATTATAGCCACCCTCGTCCTCTTTACCTTCCCTTTTAGTTCCAAAAAACCCTAATTTCGTGTGAGGATTCATTGTTGGAAAGATTGGGGCTTAGAAGAGGAAATTGTGAAGGGAGCTTGAGAATTGGGAGTTAGCATCAAGAGGCTTGTAAAGATCTGGGATCTACATCCGATTTGTGCACATCTCTGAGGTAAGGAGCTCTTAACTTAAGCTATTTCCCTTGTGGTTCATCCTTGGTGGTTGTTTTGGGAGTTGTGAGACCTATCTCGGATTTTGAGTTGGATTTGGGGTTGGTACTCTAGATCTAGACTCATAATGGCCTAGAATGTCATAAAGCTTCAGTCCTTGAATTTTTAGTGAAGCCCTTTGTCCTAAAAGTCTAGCCCTAGAGCATTTTGGGCTCATAGCTCCTGGAGTTCACGTAAAGTTTGCCACTTTACGTGAGGAATGGCTTGTAGAAGGGTAGATCTAGGGATTGGAGCCCCTGCATGGCTTGGAAATCCTCTGTATGGAATGAGAACTGAAGAGACTCGGCGAGTTCCATGGGGGAACTCGACGAGTTGGATGAAGGTGGCCATGGACTCAACGAGTTGGAAGAACAACTCGGCGAGATTGTTGAATATTGCTTTGGACTCGGTGAGTCTGTTCTTGGACTCGGCGTGTCTGGTCGTGGAGTCCTAACCTTTTCTGGT